GGCTGCACCCTTCAACTGCAAACTTCATGCCTATAGCTTGGTTTACACTATCAACTTTCTGTTGAAAAGTTAACGAGTTGATCAACTTTTCAACTAATCGACCGAAAATCGGCTGTGTAAACGTAACATTTGAGCAATAGCAACTCGATAGCAAGTTGATAGCAACTAGTTGAGAGCTTAGAACATTCGTTCTATTTTGCTCAACTTTTGGTCAGCGAGTTGATCAAGTTTTTACCACTCAGCAAATGTTGAAGTTTGCTGACTTGCGGTCAATAACATAAAAACTTTGAACATCTGATAGAGAGGTTGATAAAATGTTGAAAAGTTTGCAGACTCGCAGTCAATAACGCAAAAACTTTGAACATCTGATAGAGAGGTTGATAGAATGTTGAAAAGTTTGTAGACTCGCAGTCAATAACATAAAAACTTTAAACATCTGATAGAGAGGTTGATAAAATGTTGAAACATTTGCCAACTTGCGGTCGATAACGCAAAAACTTTGAACATCTGATAGAGAAGTTGATAGAACGCTGAAAAGTTCATCAATGCGTCGACTTTTCCATAGTGTAAACCCAGCGTAAGTCGTGCAATTACTGACTAAACGTTATGACACCTCGCTGTCTCGACTCATGTCTCATTCATGTCTCAACTCATGTCTCGACTCGTTCTCGACTAGTGTCTCGGCCTCGCTGTCTAAACTCATGTCTCGACTCGTTCTCGATTAGTGTCTCAACTCGTGTCTCAACCTCGCTGTCTCAACTCGTGTCTCAACCTCGCTGTCTCAACTCGCTGTCTCAACTCGTGTCTCAACGTCGCTGTCTCAACTCATGTCTCGACTCGTTCTCGACCTCGCTGTCTAAACTCATGTCTCACTCATGTCTCAACTCGTGTCTCAACTCGTGTCTCAACTTCGCTGTCTCAACTTGTGTCTCGACTCGTTCTCGACTAGTGTCTCGGCCTCGCTGTCTAAACTCATGTCTCACTCACTCGACTCATGTCTCGACTCGTGTCTCGAGTTGTGTCTCGACTTCACTGTCTCAACTCGTGTCTCGACTCGTGTCTCGACTCGTGTCTTGACTCGTTCTCGACTAGTGTCTCGGCCTCGCTGTCTAAACTCATGTCTCACTCATGTCTCAACCTCGCTGTCTCGACTCGTGTCTCACTCATGTCTCGACTCGTGTCTCAACTCGTGTCTCAACTTCGCTGTCTCGACTCAAGTCTCAACTCGTGTCTCGACTCGTGTCTCAACTCGTGTCTTAACTCATGTCTCGACTAGTGTCTCGGCCTCGCTGTCTAAACTCATGTCTCAACTCGTGTCTCGACTCGTGTCTCAACCTTGCTGTCTCAACTCGTGTCTCACCTCCTCCTTCTCATCAGCATCTGCGGCAGCGGCAGGCGCAGCGGCGGGCTCGGCGGCAGGGGGCGCCACCAGCACATCCGCGACCGCGCNTAACGTGTTATTACGTAACCAATTATTACAGAACCTTACACATAACGAACATACATGAATCACAGACTCTTACATGTAACGTGTTATTACGTAACGATTATTACAGAACCTTACACATAACGAACATACATGAATCACACTCTTACATGTAACGTGTTATTACGTAACGATTATTACAGAACCTTACACATAACGAACATACATGAATCACAGACTCTTACATGTAACGTGTTATTACGTAACGATTATTACAGAACCTTACACATAACGAACATACATGAATCACAGACTCTTACATGTAACGTGCTATATCGTACTGCGGGTCCAGACCTACACGTAACATGTGTACATTCATTACAGAAGCTTACACAAGCTTGAAGAATACAACTACACCAGCGAAGCGCTGCATTGTTGTCTTTCCCCATCACGTGTGCGGCAAAAACGACAAAATTTTCCACTTTTTAAAAATTTATCTGAGTTTTTAGTTGAGCCTGACCTCTATCATTGAATCTATATATTGATCTTTTTTTTATCTATTTATTTTATCTTTTTCATGTGTTTATTTATGAGATTTACACAGTTTTTAGTCGCAGTACACGGCGAGCAAGGGTTGGTAGTATTGAGTATTGACGCTTTACAACTCTCTGACACTGGGATGAATGGATGCAGCATTCAGCATACATACACACATTACGCATTCACATTTCCTCAGCCCATGCTAAATATTGTGCCTCAGTCATCAAATACGCACACGTACGCACGCACGCACG